TCACCATGGGCAGCAAAATGTATCAAGCTCACTGAACTTATCTGCTCAAGTACCTTCAGCTTCGTTGCTTTCTCTTCTACTAAAGGCGGAACACCCACCAGTTGTCCGACCATCTCCGCTTCTTTTCTTGCACATGGCAATGATGGTAGCCAATCAACCATGGGATTGCCTATTATCAAGGCACCCGTGTTGCTGTGGTAGTCCTCTGGACTATCTTGAATGTTTTTGAGTGTCGTCAAAGAAGGAATGATACGAATCTTATGAGTCTCCGACAGGTATTCGGCTCCCTCCTTTTCACTCAAGGCAGCAAAGGGAACTTTGTACAAATTGCGGTCAGGAACAATAATGACTTCAGGCTCCTCAAGCAAATCATAAACGGGGGCAATAAACATTTTGTAACACAAAGATAGACTTGAAATGACTTTCTCGTCCTCTTCCTCCTCCACGAGTCGCAATCTTGCTGAGCTCTTTTTTTCGGGGGTAAGAGGTTGCAATTCAACCATATTTAAAGACCGATCTTCACAATCTTCAATGGGCAAAATACCAAGACTCCGGAAATTATCAGCCAAAAATTGACTCAAAGACAAATCTTTTGGCAACCCAGCCTGAACGAGATTGTCCTCTGGGGATATTCTTTCATAGCGAAAATCTCCACTTGTTTTCAAGATCCACAAATGCAGATCATTGCCAAAATAAGAAATGTACAGACAAGTACAGTTATTTTTCTCTCTAAAAATGTTTTCAATTCCAGACCAAGATTGTGGATTAGCAGAGATATGCATTTCAACCGAGTACTTCTCTGCCATTAAGTCTGATAGACCTCTTGCTCGACCCAACTCCTCAACATCAAGAGCATCACGAGCATTTCCGCTGTCACAAAGCAGAGTACAAAGCAGCTTGTAGGGAAATATTCCTGAGTGCTCCAGAAGTGATGTTTTGAACTGATCGTTGGCGCCCAAGAAATATCTCAGCTCCTCGTACTTTTCAATGCACAGATGAAGACACGAAAGGGATTCTTGGATTTTATTTTGATATAAATACAAAACGGCGTAACCTTTAAGGATTTCGAACACTTTTCTTTTATCTCCAATATCTCTGGATATGGATAAAGCTTTCTCCAAGCATACTTCCGAAGCTTCATAATATCCAAAAGTACTAAACAGATTTCCAAGGTTTGCAAGATGTGCTGCTTCCCCTTCCTTATCGCCAATTTCATTTGTGATGACAAGCGCTTTTTGGAGATACTCTTTAGCCTTGTCGTATTGCCCAAGGGACTGAAACACAGAACCTAGGCGTCCATAAAAAAATCCTTCTCCTTTTTTGTCGCCAATTTCGGTTCTGATGACACGCGCTTTTGAGAGATACTCCTTAGCCTTGTCGTACTGTCCGAGGAACTGAAACACAGTAGCTAGGTATTCATAACATGAACCTTCTCCTTTTCTGTCGCCAGTTTCATATTTGATGACAAGCGCTTCTTGGAGATACTCTTTAGCCATTTTGTATTGCCCAAGCAACAGAAACACAGTTCCTAGGCCTTCATAACATGATCCTTCTCCTTCTCTGTCGCCAATTTCCGCACTGATGCTAAGAGCTTTTTGGAGATAATCTTTAGCCTTTTTGTATTGCCCAAGCAACAGAAACACAGCACCTAGGTTTCCATAACATCTTCCTTCTCCTTCTGAGTCGCCAACTTCAGGTGTCATAGCAAGCGCTTTTTCGAAATATTCTTTAGCCTTGTCGTATTGCCCGAGCGACTGAAACACTTTAGCTAGTCTTCCATAGTCAGTTGCCTCTCCTTTTCTGTCAACAATTTCCGATCTAATGACGAGCGCTTTTAGGAGATACTCTTTAGCCTTGTCATATTCCCCGAGCGACTGAAACACAATACTTAGGTTTCCGTGGGCATCTGCCTCGCCTTTTCTGTCACCAATCTCAGTCGCGATGACATGCGCTTTTAAGAGATACTCTTTAGCCTTGCCGTATTTTCCGAGCGACTGAAACACATTACCTAGGTTTTCATAACATCTTCCTTCTTCTTTTCTGGCGCCAATTTCAGATGTGATGGCAAGCGCTTTTAGGAGATGCTCTTTAGCCTTGTTGTGTTGCCCGAGCGATTGAAACACAGTACCTAGGTTTCCGTATGTAGTTGCCTCTACTTCTCTGTCGCCAATGTCCGTACTGATGACAAGCGTTTTTAGTAGATACTCTTTAGCCTTGTCATATTGCCTGAGTGACTGAAACACAATACCTAGGTTTCCATAGTCTCTTGCTTCTCCTTTTCTATCGCCAGTTTCTTTTCTGATGACAAGCGCCTTTTGAAGATACTCTTTGGCCTTGTGGTATTTCCCGAGCGACCGAAACACAGTTCCTAGGTTTCCATAGTCACTTGCCTCTCCTTCTCTGTCGTCAATTTCAGTTCTGATGACAAGCGCTTTCTGGAGATACTCTTCAGCCTTTTCGTATTGCCCAAGCGACTGAAGCACATTACCTAGGTTTCCATAACATGAACCCTCTCCTTTTCTGTCGCCAATTTCCGCCCTGATGCCAAGGGCTTTTTGGAGATACTCTTTAGCCTTGTCGTATTGCCCAATCGACTGAAACAAAATACCTAGGTTTCCATAACATGATCCTTCTCCTCCTCTGTCGCCAATCTCAGTTGTAATGAGAAGCGCTTTTTGTATACACTCTTTAGCCTTATCGTATTGCCTGAGCGACTGAAATACAGCACCAAGGTTTCCATAGTCAGCTACCTCTCCTTTTCTGTCTCCAATTTCCGTTCTGATGACAAGCGCTTTCTGGAGATGCTCTTTAGCCTTATCGGGTCGCCCGAGCGACTGAAACATAGCACCTAGGCTTCCGTAGTCAGTTGCCTCTCCTTGTCTGTCGCCAATTTCAGTTGCAATGAAAAGCGCTTTTTGGAGGTACTCTTCAGCCTTGTCGTATTGCCCGAGCGACTGAAACACAGTACCGAGGTTTCCAAAACATGATCCTTCTCCTTGTCTGTCGCCAATTTCAGTTGTGATGGCAAGCGCTTTTAGGAGATGCTCTTTAGCCTTGTTGTGTTGCCCGAGCGACTGAAATACAGTACCTAGGTTTGCGCAGTCAACTGCTTCTCCTTCTCTGTCGCCAATTTCCGTTCTGATGACAAGTGCTTTTTGGAGATACTCTTCAGCCTTGTCGTATTGCCCAAGCGACTGAAACACCATGCCTAGGTTTCCATAACATGATGCTTTTCCATTTCTGTCACCAATTTCAGTTGCCACGACAAGCGCTTTTTGGAGATACTCTTTAGCCTTGTGGCATTCCCCGAGCGACTGAAGCAACGCTCCTAGGTTTCCGTAACAGTATGCTTCTCCGCTTTTGTCGCCAATTTCGATTGTTATGGCAAGGGCCCTCGCAACATACTCCTTCGCTTTTAGGTTTTCGCCAAGTTTATAGCGCATACATCCAGACTTGCTGTATAAGAGAAGCAGTTTTCTGCCGTATCCTTCTGCCCTTACATTGTCAGAGATATGACGATAAGCGCTAAAAAGAACTTCATAAAATTGTAGCAGTATTGAATGTAATTGATCTTTGCTGTTTTGATCGGAGTTATTTAGCAAACTCAAACATTCGCTGCATATCTCAATGGCTTTCTGAATGCGATCTGAGTTTAACAGGAACAGGGCTACTAGTAAGGCGATGTTCATAGAAGTTATCATGGCTTCTGACGTTAGTTTTCCATTGCCACCCTCTCCTGTTATTCCTGTTATTAGGGAAACGTGATTTTTAGTAACAATAGTTAACCGAACAATTGGATCATCTAGATTCATGATGAGTCACTACAAACAGGAACCCATATATGAAGCTGATTCGATTACACCCGGAAACTTTTTATAACGAGCTTAAAGTGTTAGAATTGACAATTTTGACTTCATTTGTTTCATTGGTTTGACCTATGCCTGAGTTTGATTAATGGTCGTGTGTCGGGGGTCTCGCCATCAATCAGGAGGTTTATGAAAGGTCGCGGGTTTCTTTAAAAAGCAAGAAGGAACCTTTTACTACAACGTTCTGGGAACATTTTCTAGCAGTTTATCACCAAGTCAGGTTTGGCATTGGTTTGCTTGCTACTGGATAACTATGAAAACCAGTACTACCTGTCTCATGGGTCGGGAAGTCGGCGACTCAACCGGCAACCCCACCTGTTAGAGGAAGTGAAGGGTGAAACTAAGCATCCTGACAGAATTAAAAACAATATCTGCCTTAATGTCTGTGGTAGACCATTCCCAGTTACACGGGGTGAGAATGGACATCCTGGTAGATGATCAACACTTCTTTCGTAAGGTTTGTGGTGGACGTTTCCCAGTCGGTCCATTGTGACACGCACTTCACAAAGAGCAGAGACAAGCAAACCTATTATCTGGTCAGTCACTACAACAGATATTGGGGTCAGTTTTTCTTGGCCTGTCCTCACCACTGATAACACCTCCATCTGCCGGGAATATGTTACCAGTCCAGCAAAAGCTGGCGGTACTAAAATACTTTGCAAGCAGTTTCATGAAATGGTCAGTCAGAAAACCACTAATACCGGCTCAATCAACGACAGAATAATGACTATGAGACTTCCACTACAGCGAAACATGTCCATGCATGTCATGCCCCAACAATGACCAACACAGAGGAGGTAAAGGAATAGTTCTACAGCGACCTAAGTGAGCTAATCAGGCGTGTACCGTGTGATGACAGGCTGATACTCGTTTGGGATTTTCATGCTAAAGTCGGTTCACATACTGAGAAATGGAAAGGAGTACTAAGTAGTCATGGAGCAGGCAAGTGCAATGCTAACGGAGACCTTCTACTTGCATTATGTTCAAAGTACAACCTTGTGGTAACCAACACCCGATTAAAGCACAAGGACACATACAAAATGACATGGATTTACCCAAGATCCACGCACTGGCACTTGTCAGACTACATCATAATAATACAGAGAGACATAATGGGGTGGGAAGCCACCACGGAAGCTAGGCACTTGTGCACTGAAAGGTCAACGGGAAGAACTTATACAAAAATGGAGGAAAACATGAAAGACTGGGACAGCAACAACTCAGAGAAAGAAATAGACGAGAAATGAGGAACACTGAAGGATATGATGAGTGATGTTCTAGGCCACCCTGAGAAGAAACATCAAGATTGGTCTAATGAGCATGAGAAACATCTGAAGAAACTACTCAAACCGAGGAATACAGCTAGGCAGGAAAGTCTACCATGTAACACAAGGTCGAAGGAGAAGAAACATTCAAAGGCTCAGAGTGAGCTACAGAAGTACACTGGAGAGATGGAGTCCAACTGGTGGGGGAAAAAAGCGGAAGAACTCCAAACTACAAGAAACATGAAAACAAGAAAACATTCTTCAGAGGCCTGGGAGAAACTTACAGCCCCAAACCGAGAGGATTGATCCAGCTAAAGGCTCTGGACGGTGAATCAGTTTTGCAGGGGAGAGACAAGATCTTGGACAGATTTGCAGACCACTTCGACCGACTATTAAACAAACTCGAAGATCTCGCTGAGGAGGCTAAAGAGGCTCTAGTGCAGCGACCACTGATAAAATGTGCAGCGACCACATGAACTAATGGCAGCTCTCAGGTCAACCCAGGATGGTAAAGCTCCAGGAGGGGATGGAATTCCAGCAGAAGTGTGGAAATTTGGTGGTGCTCAGCTTATCACTGCCTACGCAAGTTCATCCAAGAGATATAAGAAGCCCAAAAAGTACCTCAAGACTGGAAGGATGCAAGTATCGTGCCTTTGTTCAAGAAAAGGTGACAGGAAAAATTGTGGAAGTTACCGAGGTATATTACTGCTGGCCAGTGTTGGTAAGATTCTCGCACGCGTACTTCTAAACAGGCTCAATGAACACATCTCTGATTTTCTGCTTGAGACAAGTTCAAGAAAAGTGTATCGAATAGAACCTGCCGCCATATGCAGTCTTCATTGAATTCGGTAAAGCCTTCGATATTATATCGCGACAAGGACTTAAGATCTCGGCAGGTACTTAAGAAATATGGCTGCACAAAGAACTTTGTCAACCTGATCGAGGCACTCCGTACAGGTATGTAAGCTAACGTGGCAATGAGTGGTTTAGTGTCTAAATACTTCTCAGTAGCCAACGGGGTTAAACAAGGGTGTGTGCTGGCGCCTACCCTCTTCTCGCTATTATCTATCAGCAATGCTTGAGGTGGCCTTCAAAGACACTTCAGAAGGAGTTTTCATTCAAACAAGGAAAGAAGCAGGCATTTTCAATGTGGCACACTTCAAAGCCAGGAGTAAAATATCGACGAAGGTAGTGTGGGGAATGAATAAGGAACCCACACCGTCGCTTTTTTCTTCCATATCTTTAATTCTCTTTTTAGACTCTCTCGCATGCACAACAAATTTTCTCAGACAGACTAAACAACAACAATCAGGTTTTCCTTATCTTATGGACACACCCTGATCAAACGTAAGCCGATTGGCTACAAAGATCTTTCAGACAAAGGATAAACAGACTCATTCATTAGAGCAGACAACGTACGCTCGATTTCCGGCCAGATATTCTACAATCATTACATCAACTTAGCTTCAACCAATACTAATTATCCTGTTTCCGACAGTAGTGAGAGAAATGCTCTTTGCCGATTACAGGCTCTTTTCTCTTTGCCGATGACTAACAGCACACAGTGCGGAAGATATGCCATATTTAGTGGAGAAATTTGCAAGAGCAACCAATCAATTCAGCCTCAAAATCAACATCAAGAAGACAGAATGCCTTTATCAACTGCCAAATTTCCAGTTATCAACATAACTACCAGAAGAGATCAGCGCTGGTACAGAATCACCAGTTAAGTGAAGGACTTTCAAGTACCGCGGGAGTGCTGTTTCAGAGAATGCAAGACTGGAGGATGAACCATCTCTCAGAATGGGAAGAGCAAGTTTTACGACCAAAGACTTGAGAGAGACTGTGGAATAAACGACGTGTGTCTGTTCGTGTGAAATGCAAAGTGCACAAAGCGACAATACTGGCTACTCTATTATACGGTGCTGAGACTTGGACTGTTTACAGGGCCCAGTTACAGAAACTTTACGCACACATGATGAGACACCTACGAGCTATCATGAACATCTCATGGAAAGACAAGATAATTAACATAGAGGTGCTGGATCGAGCTGGTCTACCATCGATGGAGGTCATGCTAATACAGATGAACCTCTAGTGGTTCGACCATGTTGAGAGAATGGAACGCTAGCGTCTCCCTAGGCAGGTACTCTAATCACAGTTATGCCAGGGCAAACATAATCAGGGTAGACCAAGGGTGAGATTCAAAGACACTGCTAAAAGAAACCTGAAGAAGTTGCGTATGGACAGGAGTTCCTGGAAACGGAAAGAGAAGGATAGAGCTGCGTGGAGGAATCTGACCAGACCTTAATGAAACAGCCATTGTCTTCCCCCACAGACCGCAATGATGATGACGATCACTAAATAAGGAGCTTACTTATTTGAAGTATATGGCTAAAAACGAATATATATTTATATATAATGAGGATGATTGCCAAGATTTGAGGTAACAATGGTTTGAAAAACTTGGTTTAAATAAAAAACTAAATTTTAAACAAAAAATACCGCATTTACCTTAACTTTTTCTATGAGAACTTCCTAACATTGTTTCGATACACATCATTAATCAACGGGGTAAGTTTCGAAAGAAACATTGGTGGGGCATTACAAAACAATTTGGCTTTTACCAACTGAGTTGACAGAGTAAATTGGCCATCGTAATGAGTTTCTGAAGCTAACGTTTCGAGTGTTAGCCCTTCATTGGAGCGTTTGATAATCTTGAGGAATCAATGATGTTTTATCGCACTACATGTATTCGAGTTTAAAGCGTTTCAATTCTTAGGCTAACCCAATACTACTACAACTTTCTGGAAAATTTCCTGACATTCCGCAATATGGCATGCATCATTTGAAAATATTTTTGCAGTAGGCTATTACTAAGTAATGAGCTCGTTTATCAGATGAATGTCACTGAAAACGAATCTATTCTTAGCTGATGAGAATGATAAACAATATGTGAGGCCACAAAGCTTTGGCAGAGTCCGACTTTGTGACGAAATTCATTTATATGTGCGTGATAATCGACTAATTGCCTTCGTAAAATTTCATTTTCTAGCGGGTGTGATTGCATGATTGAAGCCAAAAATACTAAAAAAACTAAGTGACTGTATTTCGGTTTGTCACGTCACACTTTTCTAAGGAATGATGGATTTGAGCATCCAAAAATGACACATCTTACTCTGTTTCACCGGAAACGTCAGGCTTCAGTGTTCATCCCTTTTGGAACGGTTGGATTTGCATCACGAGATCGATCAGATCGAGAGTACAGCTAAAGCTTCTGTCTTTAAACGGTAAGCTATCTGTGCGTGACAAATCGACCCATTGTACTCATGAACTTTTCATTTTCTTGAGGGTGTGATTCATGAATTAATCATTTGCTTTTTCTCGAGACGTGAGCACGGGCTGCTTCTGCTGACATCAATAAAGCACATTCTGCATTATAAATGTGTCCTGGTATAGGATTGATTTTAGTTTTTGATCACGTGATTGTGGAAACCATCAGTTTCTCAAATTAAACAATGCTGAACAATCTGAGCTTATGAGGTTGAAATATATTGTATAAAACCATTACGGTTTGAAGAAAGCAATTTTACGGAGAGGATATGAGGCACCCGTTCAACGCAAAAGTACGCTTATACTTTGTATACAATAACAGTGAATTTAAGAAAGTTTCAGTTTCTC